TGACTATACTAGTCTAACTACCCGGTGTTACATATCAGAGCAGCAGACTCAAAAGAATGAAGACTAATCTTCACAAAGGACTCCAGCATCCTAATCTGCAATGCCTCATAGAGCATTATAAAACAGCAGAAGGGTGAGAAATATAACCATAATAATCAAGGCATAAGATTACGTATATATAGGTATCATATAACACATATTCACATTTCTCACCACACTTCATTCTCATAATCATAAATCATATTTTGTTCACATATATCAACATTATGAACATTCACAAGCACATCCCTTCATGCTTAATTTCACAATCATTCACAAGCACATTTGTACAACAACAATATTATGCAATGTGACTCAACATATCCAATGCAACTCATGCAATGCGGTACCGACATTAGTTATCTTTTTTCGGTTTTCACTCTAAACCGGGTCCACCCTTCTAGACCGATAACTTGTTATCATTTTTCGGTTTTTACTTTAAACCGGGTCTACCCTTCTAGACCGATAACAACCAAGCCCGTCCCCTAGGCTTCAAACCCACCCTTCTAGGTTTGGGACAAGCCACTAGTTTCCACGAAACTAACAGACATTGCCTCTTGACTGAATGATGCATGTACAATCAACCAATCACAATAAATGCACTTAAGACCGTTCCCGCGTCTTAATCCCATGCATTCGAATAATTCACCCCTTCGAGAATTTCATCATGATTGCACATACAACATATATCAAACATTTATCAATGTATTCAGTTCACACATCATCATATTCAACAACAATGCACACATATCACATATGTTCCCATGCATTCATACAACAATCGCATACATATATGCACTCACAATTCCTTAGACGATACACATACATTCCTCATTGTGTTCCCATGTATCTCTAATTATCACAACAATCAAGGTATTCACATCGCAATACCAATCATACAATTATAAGTTATGCACACATATTCAAAATGTTCTCATGCATACTCATTACATAATTGTACACAACAATCAAACATTCACAACTCATCAATTAATACACACATAATCATCATTATGTTCTCATGTATTTTAACCGATTATAATTAATCATTCACATCACAACTCTAGGATTCACGCCCGAAGGCTACCCACAGCACATGTTACCATAATAGATCACATACTCATTCATAACATAGAAGTATAAACATATGCGAATCAACCAAACAATCACCATTTGGATAACACAACAAAGAAAATATACTGCCGCATTCGCCTTCATTCGCCTGGCGAATCCTCGCAGCGAACCTTCGCCTGGCCTTCGCCTGGCGAGCTCTCTCAGCGAACACTCGCTAGGCTTCGCCTGGCGAGACTTCCCAGCGAGCCCAAGTCAGTAGCTACTGACTTCATTCACCACCATTCGCCTTCACCTTCGCTGGGCGAACCCTCGCTATCCAACTTCGCCTGGCGAACCCACCAGCGAAGTCTACTGGGACTTAAATATAATTATTCGCCAACATTCGCTAGGCTTCGCCTGGCGAAGCTTCGCCTTCGCTCGCCTGGCGAGAGCCAGCGAACCTGCGCAGAACAAAATTTCATTCTGTCTTCTCCTTCACCAATCCATCATCAACCCTCTCTTACACATCCAAATCAGTACAAACAGCATCAACACATGTTACCCAACTATTCTACGGCATTATTACTCAGTTTCAACCGATTAAATCATCAATCTACCAATTATCCAACATTTTGCCCTAAATGGAAAGTGATGAAAACTCTACCAAAGCCCCAACCCAACATACATAACATCATACAATGATCAAATAGAAACATTTCTCACCCTTACCTCGATTAATCGGAGCTTTGATGTTGGTTCTTGATGATTTGCACTTTTCCTCTTCTTTTCCTCTCTTTCTCTCCCTTCTTCTTCTTTCCTCTTTCTTTCCAAATGTTTTCTATTTTTCTTTTCTTTTCTTTCTCTCTTATATAATTCCTTTATTTTCCTTCCTTCCAATTTCCTTCTCAATTCTCTATTAATCCCAATTAATAAAAATTAATTTTCCAACATTAATAAAATCCCACTAAATAAATTAATTACTACAAGTAATTATTTAATGAAATTTGGGCTATTACAAGTTCCTCCAAGGAGATCTTGTTCAGATCTTTAGCCATTTTCAGCGCAGTCACCATAGGTCTCGATCTGGTAGGTAAACTTCTGATGATCTTTTTCACATGATCAACAGTAGAGTATCCTTTATCCAGAACCTTTAGTCCAGCTGTAAGTATTTGAAATTTGGAGAACATAGCTTCAACAGATTCAGAGTCTTCCATCTTGAAAGCTTCATACTTCTGGATTAGAGCCAGAGCCTTTGTTTCCTTGACTTGACAGTTTCCCTCATGAGTCATCTTTAAGGACTCAAACATGTAAAATGCAGTTTCTCTATTTGTGATCTTTTCATACTCAGTGTGAGATATTGCATTTAACAATATTGTTCTGGCCTTGTGGTGATTTCTAAATTCCTTCTTTTGGGCTTCTGTCATAGATTTTCTATCTACTTTCTTGCCATTCCCATCAATGGGATGAACATATCCATCTATGACCAAATCCCATAAATCAGCATCATAACCAAGGACAAAACTTTCAATCCTGTCTTTCCAATAATCAAATTTCTCCCCATTAAACATAGGGGGTTTAGTGCTGATTCTGTCCCTTTCTTCATATTTGTTGTTAATGTTAGACATTGAATTATCAGCCATAGTAACAACCAAATATATATCAAAGTTTATCTCACTAGATCTTTACTATCACTGTGAAGTGATAGCACACACAGAACCAGAGCTCTGATGCCAACTGAAGGTGAGAAAATACTTAGAAGAGGAGTTGAATAAGTATGAAGATAAAACTTAGAAATAAAAAACTCAAGTATTTTTATCCCGATTCGTTGAACTCAACTACTCCAGTCCACCCTTCCTAGAGTGATTTGCCTTTCTCAAACAAGGACTTAATCCACTATTTAATCAACTGATTACAATAGTAAGCACTAAGAACAAATGTTCAAAGTCTTCTCAAGAACTACTGATCCTAACTGGATCTTCTTAAGGTTTTCTTACAATCAAATGTAATAACAAATACAAGTGTTTAAAATGCTTCTAATAAAGCTTTATCACAACTGTGATTTTTCACTTAATATTGAGAACAAAGAAATTAATTCTAGAAAGAATGTGAGTTGTATGAGAGCTTTGAATAATGAATTCTTTTCAGGTAAAACGTCAACTGAAGAAGATGGTTGGAGACTTCCTTTTATAGGCACAGTGATCCAAGAGTATTTCACATTGAGAAGAGTGTACCAAAAGGTATGAGCCTTTTTGTCTTCACATCAAGTGACCTTTCCTAGAAGAAGAAAGCACATAGAAATCCTTTTTGTCTGTGTTCTTGTGTCTAGCATAAATAAGGAAAGAGTCGTTTGGATATTCCAACGGACATAATCTTTGAATTCTTCTTCATCAATTTTCAGCAAGAATCATCAGAGTCTAAATTGATCAGAGCCTTCTGATGTTGATCAGAGTTTTGCTGAATCAGAGTCTTTGCAGCAGGTGTGCTTTTAGCGTGTATAAGTTCAGAGCAGAGTTTAGTCAGATCCTCAGTACTGACAGCGTGAGTACTCTCAGAGTCTTCTGAAGTAATTATGCTTGAAAAACTCTTCATACAAAATTCTTCATTGGTTCAGATGCTTCTAACTTGCTTCAGATTCTTTTGGAGCTTCTGCTTCAGAACTTCTGGAGCTTCTGCTTCAGATCCTTCTGGAGGCAACGCTCAGAATCTTCTGATCGCAGTGTTTAGAATCTTCTAATGGGTGCATCTGATGCTACAGAGCCTTGCATATTTCTTATGTTCAGATCTGATTTGCTTCTGGAGTGATATTTACTTTAATATCTGCAGCAAACATTCTTAAGCAAATTTTAGAGTATATAATTCTTAATTACAAAATTTCATAATAGTTATCATCAAAACATAGAGATATTATTAAGAACCAATCTGTGTTCTAACAAAACCCACGTTGATTTTCTTATTTGAAACCCTTAAAGATCTCAACCTAATTTATAATTCACCAACCTAAATTGGACGTTATCAACTATAATTCTAGATGACACCCAAATAATGAATGATTATGTGTACTTTGTTTATGTGTATGCATAAAATGAAGGTTGAAGATGATGAACACTCTTTGAAATCCCAGTTTCGTTTGTGATTATCTCAAAATCACTAAAAAAATGATGTATGTATGAAATATATGTATATGAGCAAGTAAGAAGCAAAAGGAATATGAGAGATTTAGAAAATGATGCAAATTCTAAAGATTTTTAGTGCATGTGTCGACCTATGTAAGTCATAGGTCGACATACTTGATGCATGTGTCTACCTGTATAGGTCATGTGCCGACCTATGCAACCAACACATCAAACAGATTCTACAAACTTTAAAAATGAGTTACATAGGTCGACCTGTAACACGTATGTGTCGACCTGAAGCACTTATGTGTCAACCTATATATTGTTTTTCACATAAAAATTAGTTTATGATGCATGAAACCTTTCCTAGACCTTTTCCAACATGTCGTTATACTTCCTAATGTTAAGATGCACGTTTAGGCTCAGAGGATACTGTTTAATATACATAAATGCTAGATTGTCCTATTTTTTACATCATTCAAAATAATTCTAATAGAAAGGTGCACTCACAAAATTCAGTTGAAGTGTGTTTCAGTGAGACAAGTAGTGCGTCCAAAGATGCATTTCTAAAATTAAATGGATAATTTTGAATTCTTATAGAATGCTTTTCCACCTCTTTAGAGTGAGACTAGCAATTCCGATATTAAATTGGGCCATGAAAAAAAACAAATCATATTCAGCCCATTTAACTAGCCAACGAGGCCCAGATCCAACCGTTTCCCTTTTCTCACAGTAGGGTTTTTTGAAGAGAACACTTTCTGCAGAGTTTTCTCGCGGCGATTCAAGAGCTTCGAAATGGGTAAGAACAAACAAACCCTACTTCACAATATGCATCATTTTCTCATTTTGATCCTAACATATCCTCATTTTGTTTAATCTGAATCCTTGAATATTTGAACTCAAAAGCTAGAATCAAGGTGTATGAACTCAGGCAAAAAACGAAAGTAGATCTTCTGAACCAGTTGAAGGATCTGAAAGCAGAACTTGCTCTTCTCCGCGTCGCTAAGGTCACCGGTGGAGCCCCAAACAAGCTCTCCAAAATGTATACTCACTCACTTTTCTAATCGATTATTTTCATCATTACTATCACTTTTCGCTATCTTAATCCACTTTTTTATATGTTCATTCATATTGTATAATGTTTGTTTTAATTTAGTCTGAGTTGTTTAATTTTATAATATCTATAGTATGAATTTATCTAAATTTAAGTTTAAATGATTGTTTTCATTTGTACTATGGTTTAGGTGTTTCGAGTTTTCGTTGATTTTGATACAAATTTGATATTTTTCATTGTTTGAATGCAGAAAAGTTGTTCGGCTTTCAATAGCTCAGGTTTTGACTGTGATTTCACAGAAGCAAAAGTCGGCATTGAGGGAAGCTTATAAGAAGAAGAAATACCTGCCTTTGGATTTGCGTCCGAAGAAGACAAGAGCTATTAGAAGACGTCTCACCAAGAATCAGGTACTTTGTTTTCTGTTTTTGTTTTCTCTAGTAAGTGTTTCTGTATATGCGAGAGAGTTAGTGAATACCGTATTGTTGGTGATGGTGTTTTGAAGGTCTTCTTAGCGCTTCATGTTGTGTATGAAATGAATTATATTGTGTCTTGAGATCTTGACTAGTTGACAAATCTATTTGTGCAAGTTTCCTTCATAACATGGCTTATTGAGTTAGTTTGTATTTTTCTTACAGCAATCTTTGAAGACAGAGCGTGAGAAGAAGAAAGAAATCTATTTCCCGTTGAGGAAATATGCAATTAAGGTGTAATGCTACCGTTGATGCATGACTTCTGATTTATTTTTGACACTTATTTTAAGTGTTTGGTGTTGGGTTCAGTTTTTCTTTCCTATTGAGTTTAACTAATGATCATGAAATGAAATTATTACACTTGTTCTCTTGTTTTTCCTCATTACAGATTTCGATTCTTTATTGCTTGAACATGTTGGATTTATAAACTGTTTTCTTGAATCCGTATAATTTGTTATGAGCATGTTTACAAATAGGCGCATGATATCTGCTAGTAGGATCATTGATAGTTGCAATAAGTTTTTTTCATAGCTGAAATCAAGTTGATACCTTTACGGGTTTGCAGTGTTAATGGGTGAAATCAGTAACTTTGGGTCATTTGAGGAAATACAAAAATGTGAGGATTTTAAAATGGCTTCACACTGGTTCATACCCCGTTTATAAGCATTGTAATGTCTAGAACATCTTCCTGAGCTCATCATTCACATCTTGGATATGACTAAAACAGGAAATGTAAGTAGAAAGGGGCAACGACAAATTTAGAGAAAACTGTCGCGGTGTTTGCCCTAAGGCCACAACCTCATAATGAAGCATTGAGGGTGTTGTTGCAGAGTCTTGTTAACCATCTATCAGCCTAAAGTTTGATTAGGCAACTACAATTCAATTGAGGTATTACATGTTTGCTAACAAATTTGTTTGATAGCGGTTATGGTAACTGAAAGTTGTACACACTATTCTTGTTATTGATTTGCTATAGCAGGTGAGCGTTAACATCTATTCAAGCGAAGTTCTCGCCCATTGTAACTGATTGGATAAAAAGAATGTAAAACTGATACATAGATTCCTAATAGTTATCGTAAAGCTCCATGTTCGGATACTTGTCGGAGTTCTCATCTTTACAATTTTCTTTTGAGATCTCTAAAAAGTTGAATGATATGAATTTCCATCTATGTGGTCAACAAATTGAGCCATACATCCACAAGTACAATCTCATTGAGATCTTTGCAATTAAATTGTAAATCTGAACCTCCCCACTACAAAGTCCTCATTTTTTTGACGGGGCAAGTTTCAGGTCCTCCCTAGCTACTAAGTCCTCCATTTCCTCTTCTATTCCATACTGACTTTGGTGCTTAGGCATAGTCATCCTAACATTCATAACATGAAGTTTGTTCTCAATCAATGTAAGATTTCGATTTCAAATGAAATGTTTCCAATTTTTGTACTTATGTACTCTTTCTTTTGTCTCCCCTTTTTCTTATGATTCCTCATCCTCTGCCAATACTGACTCTGCTAATTTACTTCTATCGAAAGAACCTTCTTCTTTTACGCTTAATCCTCACCTCACCCTACTTTTTCCTATAGGGGTGTGCAAAATAACTAATAACCATAAACCAAATTTCTATCCAAATTAATTCAAATTTTAAAATCTAAATCAAATTTATATTTTAAATTTGGTGGCCCATTTATCAAATTAAAAAAAAATCGGTAACCATTTGTTCCAAACCGGTTTGAGATTCGGTAACTATTTTGTTATAATTTTAAACTCCCAGTTGTTATGCTTACATACTAGTTCGATCTATTTTTTTTAAATTCTCCGCTAAATTCACATATTGTTCTTCAATAGCCTGTTAGAATTTAGATTAAACTTATGCTAATGCGCATGAATAAATGTTTGGTTAAATGAATCTAATTCTCCGCTAAATTCACATATTGTTCTTCAATAGCCTGTTAGAATTTAGATTAAACTTATGCTAATGCGCATGAATAAATGTTTGGTTAAATGAATCTGTTGCATAGTATGCATGCTGCTCAAATGTTTTTTTTCATAGTAAATTATGATGATGTTAAAATTACTTAGTTTGTATAATATACTAATTGTGGAATATTTTGTATGTGATTTTTTTTATACTTTAAATTATAGAAAAATATTACTAATGAACTAAAATTGTCCTCTAAAAGGAGTGGAATAATGTTTCAATTGTTCAAATCTATAAAATTAGAAAAAAGAAAGTGACATACCGGTTTTTTTTATAAAATTGATTTTAAAAGTGATATTTTAAAAAAAAATAAAAAATTGGTTTTGAGAGAAATCAGTTTAAAACTGGTTTTTTAAAAAATTGTTTTTTTTTAAAAACTGGTTTGAAACCGAATCAATCCACTTGTAAATCGATTTTAAAAAAATAAATCGATTTTATATAAATAGTTTTAAGATTCAAACCAAATCATATATGTAGTTTGGTTTGGTTTGGTTTATAATCCATGCACACCCCTACTTCTCTAGTCATTCTCTTACTTTAACATCCCTTTCCTTAGAACAAAGATATAAGATTAAAGATAAACAAAACTAAAAGACAATGAACATGATTAATATTTATTAACATAATTTGGCCAATAATTGCGACTATTGAAAACTAAAAGACAATGAATATGATTAATATTTGTTAACATAATTTGGCCAATAATTCCATGTCTAATGAATTATAATTCATTTTTTTTAAATAACACATTAAATGAGGAAAGAAGTCTACATGCAACAATCTCAAGGTTTTGATAGGGATAATCAGGCTATTGTATGAAAACTTAACAAGGCTCTTTATTGGCTGAAATAAGCCCTTAAGAAATAGTTTGCAAGGCTTAAGACTACTACTATTGTGCAACTTGGTTTTTAGGATATCAAGTGTGACCAATTTTAATTTGCCATCTCCCACTTAACCTAGCACCCCTATAGGTTTATAATTTCAAAACTGTCCCAAAAAAATTTTGAAACAAATTTTCATACGAAATTTTCGATAGATAAATCAGAATTTTTAGTATACACTAAATTTTTGAAAATATTTTTATAATTTTTAGTATTCTCTAAAATTTTTAAAATTTACGTGAACTTACAAATATTATTCTCTAAAATTTTTAAAATTTACGTGAACTTACAAATATTATTGAAAATTTTAAATGTTCTATTTTATACTTAAAATTTCAACCATGAAATTTTCAGTATTCATATTCAATAATTTTTTTAACACCGTCGAAAATTTTGAAAAGTGTTGTAATTTATTGAAAATTTTAAAATATATGATAGTTTAAAAAAAAATTCTTCAAAATTTTTGGATATTTTCTTTTTTGAAAATTCAAATATTTTGAATATTTTTCAAAAAAAAATTGATCCCAAGTGATTCAGTTCTACTTAACATCGGACTACGATATAAAGATCGATCGATGATACTTGAGACTTATCCCAGCTCTTTTAGTGTCCGACAAAGCCTTGGAGACAAATGTTCTAGACTGCCCAAAAGGTCCAACGACAACAACCTAATTCGTCTCAAGTCCACTCTACTCGACCTAACATATAAAATAGTTCACATGTTATGAGAAGATACGCAATCTCTGATATTCAATTTCACTTTACTCATCTTAAATTTTAAACTGACTTAAATATTAAAGTGTTAACTATACATATCCACACATTACCTTAAAGGAGATCGAAATCTCCGTTAATAATTTACCGTCTTTTGTTTTTCATCATTTACGATTCTTTCAAGAACTGAAACATTCCTTTCTAATTCTCAAATAGAATATAATCTTTAAGCTCATCTTTATATTTTGAGTGAGGTAATAAAATGTTCCATATATCATTTTACAAATGGATAAATTTGAATTATTATTTATCTAAATTTTAAGATAATAAAATGTTAGAAGGTCAATATTCAAGCCCAAAAGAAATAGAAAACAACCTATGTGATTTAGGGACTGTTATCAGTTTAATAAGGGTATATTAAAAATTACATCTATTATCTTTATAATTGTTGAATTGTAATTTGTTTTTCCAAAAATGGCTTACGCCCATTAAGTTAGCAAAACCAAAGTATTTAAGATGTAATTTCCTGAAGTTGAATTTTTATAAAATCAGAAACGTTGTTTTATGTTTTTCTCTTCCTTTAGAATCCTAAATCTAAAGTAGAATTAGTGTAATCTATTTTATATCGGGAACCTTCATTTTACAAATGAACCTTTTCTTTGATTACATTTCCACGAGTTTGTGTTATTCATTATTTTGATTACTGAACCCTGAAACTGAGGTAACAACTAGCAACGCGTGCGTGCGTGATGAAGTGACATCACTTTTTGTTTTTCTTTACGGCCGGCCAAAAAAAGTGTGACTGAGTTTTCACATTTAATTGTCCTAGCTAGTTAAACTATGATTGTACAATTAGCATTAGATTAGTTTATCATACTAAACCTAAGTCTTACTGTATGTATATAGTAACAAACTAGTACTAGAGTTACAATCAATGAAACAATTACTTTCTTCAAGTTTCTTTTTATGTTTTTCTATGTTTATAACATCTTCCATTGTAGAGATAGTATTTGAGCTTAACAAATTCTAATTGTCATTGATCTTCGTCTTTTCTTCGATTTCATTTTCCTAATTTCTTGAAGCTTCACTTTAAATTTTCATCTTTCTCTGCAATTTGACTATGCATTTTTCAGTTTCAATTGTCTGCTTTGTTGATTTTTTTAAACTAATTATGCAAATTCGTATTATCTCCGTTCGAACAAGAATACTGTACTGTCCTCTGTTTGATGACAAAATGATCGTATATGGACTTAATCGATGCAAATTACATTGATATTTAAGAATAAGGATAAGTTTATAGATGGAACTCCACTAGTGCAGAAAAGACTTTTTTACATCGGGTCAAAAACACATTTTACATCGGGTTTAGGTCCGATATAAAGTCAAGCGATGTAGTAAATCAAAGACATTTTACATCGGACCATAGACCGATGTGAAAATACATCTATTACATCGGTTGACAGTTAAGTTTGATGTGAAATATGAGTTTAATTATTATTTTTATAAAAAAAAAGCATTTTTTACATCGATTGACATCTATAACCGATGTAAAAGGTATGTTTTTACATCGGTTGTCTTTATGGCCCGATGTAAAATGTGTGCTACGTTTCTTAATAATGTATGCTTTCACATCGATTGCCTTTCAGCCCCGATGTAAAATGTGTGATATCTTTCTTCAAAATGAATGTTTTTACATCGTTTGCAAGGCGCACCTGATATAAAATGTAAGTTGTCTTTCTTAAAAAATTGGACTATTTTTTAACAGAATCGATGTGGAATCCCTGTAATATTTTTTGATACCTAATTTTTCATATTTTTTCAACATCACACATACCACATTTTAGTCACTATTTGGTATGTAATTTTTCATATTTTTTCAACCAACATTTTAATTTCATTGCACCAAATAGCTAGGATGCACATATTTTTCAACATGAACAAATTGATTTACAAAAGTACTAATCTAGTATACACGCAAGTGCACAAAATTATATGTATGTTTACACGGTGAACTAATATAACAACAAAACCAATGAAAACATACAAAAATATCCAACCATTTATAAGTCCTTTCCCACACTTGAATTACCAACATGCAATTCACAAGAAGATGAGTTGTAGTTAGATTCGGTAGACAACACCAAAATCACATTTGCTGACAATAA